ACCACCCACGTCAAGATGCAAGAACGCTTTCTTGAAAGCCACCAATTGACCACCACAGAGAGGCTTGCTATGCGCTCAATAAGTGAAGAAGGAGGCTAGGTATATGTGTTTAGAAGAGGGAAGTCTCCAGCATGAAAACTTCACAAGAGTGGGAATGGTATATAGAAGAATTGGCTAGGTTTTTTGAAAAACCTTAAGGAGGAACTCACCAACTAGGCGCACAAGAGAGGGAGAGAATTAGTGTGTCAAATCAGAATTTTTACTTTACTTATAATGAAAGTGGCGCACAAATGAATGAGACAAATGTGGAGTTGTTGCAATTCAAAAATCCCAACAACCTCCCCTTTGAATCCTCATAAGACTAGGTCTTTATCTAGTCAAAATTCTGAACCAATGGTCATCATATGACCACCAATTCATGCGCCCCTATTCAGCCCAAAAAGGGTCCAGATACATTTGAGTTGTTGCATTCAAGTTTGAACCAACTAGCTCACTGATTCTCTCAACAACCAAATCTGATTGGAGCTTGTTGGTTTGACAAGATGACAATCATCTCGCACCAAAATGGCGCCCCAAATCACCCCTTGGAGATCTCCATAGATCTTCTCTTGATACAAGGAATTTGTTCCAACAAGATCTCATCTTATCCTTTTGTTATGAAACAACTTTTCATAGCAAATTCAAACATTTAAATTCAAACGTTCAAACATTTAAATTCTAAATTCAAATTCAAATTTCAAATTCAAATTCAAATTTCAAATTCAAAATTCAAAATTCAAATTTCAAAATTCAAATTCAAAATTCAAATTTCAAATTTCAAATTTCAAATTCAAAATTCGAATTTCAAAATTCAAATTCAAAATTCAAAATTCAAATTTCAAAATTCAAATTCAAAATTCAAAATTTAAATATTTGATAATTAATTTAACTAATTAAATTAATTAGTAATGTCTTGGACTATCCAAACCCATTAACAATACCATGCGCCCTCTCCTTCTTAGGTGGGCTTCCAAACTTCATCTTGGGCTAACAACCATTATTAGGCCCAATACTTTTAATGCTATATTATCATGACATTAAGGTGTTAGTGTGTGACCCATTATGTCCAATATAGCCACTGACATAAATGGGCTCGGGCCCAACAAGCCCACAACCCATTTAATGACAACACAGAGCACTAGCAATGCTTTGTTGCCCCAGAACTAGTTAGATTAATGACTTGATCATCCTATTACACATATTTGGTTATTTCTTTTCGTCTCAGTTACCTTCCCATAAAACCTACGGCAAGGAAGCGTATCAACCCTTGCGGTTTAGGGTAAGCTTTATTCGAAATAGGGAATCTTCAATTTACTGACTCTAAAAGAAGATCATCTCATGATCTCTTTTACTATGCATAGATTCCCGAGTTCCTGTAAATGTCATCCCGATTTCTCTGGTTTACAGATAACCTAATCTCTCACAGAGATCTGACGAATTCCTTCAGCTTATCACCCTAGCGCTGTGCTCTTTCAGGACAAGCCCAACAGTATACCTATGAGTCTCCATGTTTCAGGCAGACGAGGTATACAGTCAAAGCATGTCTTCTAGAACACAATCTAGGTAATAACTTCTGGTCTAAGGAAAGACATACCCAAATATAAAGAGACTACTCTAATGATACTCTCTGTGAGATTTCCTCATAGAGTCTCTTATGTGGGTCGTTTCAGTGCGAGCTATACCCTTATAGATCCACCCACGACTTTAGCTAAGACATCTCCATATCTGTACCTCATGAGGTCTTTACCTTGCATCTAAATACAAGTAGATAAGTCGTGCTAGTCTTACCCGAGATCACTGATCCCCATTCTCAGTGTCTCTAGACCAGGAACATAAAATTAGGAATAAATATCCAGTATCCTTGAATCCTCATGATCGTGATCTCATCACAGATACTCAAGAGATACCTATTTTATTCCAAGGGGTTTATCCAGTTACTCATAAAATATTAACAGTAATATTGAGACAAAATATGAAACAGGATAAATAGTGTTTTTATTTATTTGCGACAATACAAAGGTCCATATATGTCCTAATGTAATTAAAAGATTGTCTCTAGGACATCCATATACTAACAAAAATGTAACGCCTCGTGTATACCCGGTTTGTTAACATATCATCGTATTAAGCTACGCTTAATTAAAATGCAGAATATCTTTTTCTTTTCAATTATGACGTCATTATACTTAGCCAAATCGATTACTTAATCAATTTCTTAAAAACATCGCCTGTATGTAAATTGCAAATAGACATCTAACTGAAATACCTCATAATATAGATAAAGTGAGTATTTATGTCACGGATCCACTACACGTAGTCCGGACAATAATCCCGATACATTAATACAACTCTAACATAAAACAAGATATAATCAAGTCTATGTGGCATGCACAATTCCCATGCTCACCAAATCAACAACACAACCAACAGTCTCAACAGAGAATAAGATCCACATCCAAACATAACAGCATATCAGCATAAGCAGCATAAACATATAACATCTATCAGCTAAGCTCTGGCCTCCTGCAACTAAAGGTCTCAAACCCCGCATTACCTGAACCTGAAATAAGCATTCCCCAAACGTGGGGTGATATCTCTAAACCAAAAATCTCAGTAAGACAAGAGGTCTTCAAGGATCTTCCACCCCAAGCTCACTTACATGTGCAATATAAGTTCAAAAGCAGTAATTTCCAATATAAGTTCCAAAATTAAGCAGTGCCATAGATATTCATGTCATGTGTGTCAATACTATTCTACTGGCCAGAGAAATGTAGGAATACGTCTATTACCCACACGTAGTACAAGGAACACCGCTTGCACCTCACCCACAGCCTCACCATCTTGTATGTACCACATACTCAGGCTTACCGTATAGGTGGAACACCACATGCATATTATAAGGGCACTAGCATATAACAGCTCAATAGCATTTCCAAAACATCAAAAGCATGTAACACAGCATGCATATAACCATACCCCCATGGGACATGGTGGAACCACAACATGGCTAAACCGAGGACACGAAAGCTTACCTTGCAAGCTAACTATCCAATACCAAGAGTCCACACAAGCTCAAGGCCCACAAACAGCACAATCACAATCTGCCCATACCATAATTAATCATCAATAATCATAGTTCAGATTCGACTAAGTGATTAAGGTTTTCTTACTCATTTTAACTCATTTTATGTTGTTTCTGCAGGAGGTATTCAAATACTCCACGAGTAGTATTCGAATACTCCAGCTCTCCAGAAAGTATTCGATTACTTTCATTTAAGTATTCGAATACTACCAAGTATCCGAATACTTTTCCCCCCAGTATCCGAATACTACAGTATCCGAATACCAAACCTCACTGTATTCCAATACTTTCCAGTATTCGAATACTTCTTCAAAGGTATCCGAATACTTTTCTTCCCAGAAAAGTATTCCCATACTCCTGTCATGAGTATTCGACTACCAGATTAAAACTATCAATGCAAATCTTTACGAAATATTCTTAGATTTTACTATGTTAAACTAGAAATCTCAAGCTTTCCAACGACATATCTTATGCCTCAATCGGAGTTGTATAACTCCGGTTATGAATTTTGCAAAGTTCCTACAACAAGCTGAATTTCCAGCAATAGGGTCTCGACTTCAAACATACACTGAGAGAAATTCACTTATCCAATGGATCTAGAAATTTACAAGGTTGTAGCCCTATGTGTTAGCTTCACATAGGTCCAAACCTCACTCAATTTAGAGCTCTGAAGCTCAAGATATCGTAATTTTACTAAACTAGGTCGCTGTTGTCTCGCGAAGTATTCGATTACTGCCTTTTTCTAGGAAGTATTCGAATACTGCCCAAAAAGTATTCGAATACTTCTTCGACAAAATGCAGAAAACTGAGTTTTAAAGGTAAAATCGACCTCCAATGATCCAAACTCGATCTGGAGTCCAAGAACTCCTTAAACAGATGTTTATTAACATGTTATGAACCCAGAAACACATTCCTTTATTCAAATGGTTCAAGTTTTGATTTTTAATTGTTTAAACAAGCTTAAATCATCAAAATTCACAAAAGATGATCATGTATACCTCCAATGCACCACAACTCCGAAAATGGTACAACAAAGAGGTCTCCAACTACACACCAAGGTTTTGACTTTGTCAAGCCACGAATTAACACCAAAGCTTAGACCTTACACCAACAAAATGACTTCTTGGAGCCTCCAATGGTATGATCAAGGCTCACACCACCTCATATCCCAAGTAAACAGCTCCAAGACAGCAACTCCACCTTACCACAGAGGCCACAATCTCAAAAATGAGACACTCCACACTCTCACTAGACCAACTCTCACAAGCTAAAGTGTTTTGGTAGAGAGAAAAGGAGGAAAGATGATTTCTTTTGTGAGTTTACAAGGGAAGGAGCCAAAGAACAGAGGAAGTCTGGTCAGCTGCTCAAGACACTCACGTAGAATAGCATATGGCCTAGGGTTTTGGGCCAAAGTGAGTATTTATAGCTCACTTAAAATTAAACACACAGTATTAACGAAAATAGCTACGCTTAGCATTTTAATCTCAAACTTTAGATTCTGAACCTACTCATTTTTCTAAGATTTATCATATTTTTATTTTATTTTTCGGAGCACCTTTCCGGTACGCGCTTTTCCATAGCCAGTATCAGTTCTGGCACCAGTTCTCATTATTTTAACTTGAAACTTGAAATCACAGTCCTACATATTATTCTAGGAATATTCATGCACTTATTATAATTTTCTGGGATACTTCATCGGTACGCATTTATACCGACTAGCAGAACCGATTTCTGCACTTTTCGTCAGAAAAGCGACTTTCAGCATTATTACTCACTTACTATAATTATTAGAGTCTCATAATAATTATTAGGGTCGATTATAGAATTATTTCCTAATTTCACATAATTAATTTATTAACTTCCTTAATTAACGGTGCAGGTTCTTACATTTCCTGGGGCGATATTTCCCTTATGACGCGCAGTAAAGGAAATAGGGGGAGTTTGATCAACTGGTGCAAGGCTCGTTGATTGTGGACGAGTACTTGCTAAGTTCAATGAACTGGCCTAATTTGCACATTTTCGTATTGTTATGCCAACCCTGACGTTTCTAGCTTCAAAGTTTCATAGGGGACTTAATGAGGAGATAACTGATCACATTGTTGGTGCTACATCTAGAGATTTTGGCACGTTGGTTCAGCAGTGCCGTGACATTGAGGAGGTTTGCATAGTGAGCAAGGCCAAGAGGGCCAAGGTAGCTGAGATTAAGGGAACCAGTGGTTCCACTTCCTAGAGAAATAGAAAGCATGGAGGTAAAGGTAAGGGGAAGCAGTTGGTGCCTAGGCAGGCGCCAAATCAGTTCAAGAGGAATTCGGCTCAAGGGAGTGCAGCTATACCTCCTACTCCTAGATGTTCGGGATGTGGGAAATTTCATGTTGGGTCGTGTGCCACCAACAGGTCATTTGTTTTCATTGTGGCAAGGAGGACCACTATGCCAGAGATTGTCCATCGTCTACTGCGAGAGCTGCAGCGGTTCAGGCGATCCCATTGCAGATGATTCCTACTGCGCGTACAGCGGCACCTGTTGTGCCACCTACCACTGGTCGAGTTTACACTTTGTATAGACAGCAGTCGGACAGAACTCCGAACCTTGTTCGAGGTACCATTTCTGTTGGTGGTTCTGCTGTTGATGTGTTATTTGATTCCGAGGCTACGCATTCTTTCATCGCCCCCCGATTGCTGCGGGGCTTGAGTTGCCCAGTTTTGTGCTTTCTCCACCGTTGCGGGTGACCACCGCCACCTGAGAAAAGTGTGATACCTCCGCTTGACATCGAGATGTCGTGTTTCAGTGGGATGACCGTGAGTACTCGGTAGATCTGACAGGATTGTCGATGGCTAATTTGGAGATCATCCTTGGCATGGACTGGTTATCCAAGAATTGTGTGATGATTGACTGTTGTTCAAAGCGCGTGGTGATGTCTCAATGTGATTCCACAGCCAGTTCCTTGCCTTATATTTCAGTGCTGCAGGCTAGGAGAGCCTTGAGAGCAGGGGCATTTGGATATGTCATGTTGGCAGGTTTGGTGAGTGGGACACAGGAGAATATCACTGGCATTCCTATGGTGAGGGAATTCCTCGAGGTGTTTCCTGAGGAGATTCATGAGTTTCCGCCACAGAGGGAGATAGAGTTCTCCATTGACCTATTGTCTGGTCTGGGGCCTATTTCTTTAGCTCCATACCGGATATCTCCACCATAGCTAGCTGAGCTGACGAAGCATATTGAGGATCTTTCGGTGAAAGACTTCATCCGACCGAGTGTGTCTTCATGGGGAGCACCGGTTATTTTTGTTAAGAAGAAAGATGAGACTATGAGATTGTGCACCGATTACAGACAGCTGAACAAGGTGGAAATCAAGAACAAGTATCCCCTCCCTCGTATTGATGATGTGTTGGATCAACTTAGGGGTGCTTGCATGTACTCGAAGATTGATCTCCGATCCGGATACCATCAGATTCGGGTGAAGCCGGAGGATGTCCCTAAGACAGTATTTCGTTCGAGATACGGTCACTATGAGTATTTGGTGATTCCGTTTGGACTCACCAATGCGCCCGCAGTGTTCATGGATTACATGAACCGTATTTTTCAGCCTTATTTGGATCGGTTTGTGATCATCTTCATTGACGATATCTTGATTTACTCAAAGATGGAGGAAGAGCATGCGGAGCACTTGAGGATCGTGTTGCAAGTGCTGAAGGAGAAAAAGCTTTATGCTAAGCCTTCGAAGTGTGAGTTTTAGATCAAGTCAGTGAAGTTCCTTGGGCATGTGATTTATGATGAGGGAGTTGCATTGGATCCTAACAAGATTGAGGTCATGTTGGATTGGGAGAGGCCCAAGACGGTTACAGAAGTTAGGAGTTTCTTGGGTTTGGCTGGTTATTACAGGATGTTCATTGAGGGATTCTCCAAGATGGTTTTTCCTTTGAATCGCCTTACCCGGAAGGAGACTCCATTTGTGTGGATTCACGAGTGTGAGGAATGCTTCAGGAGTTGAAGGAGATATCCTTCCAAAGGTTGGTTTTTTAACCCATTCCAACGTCCAAGCATGCATTTTTACACTTTTTTAGGTTCATATACAGGGTGGTTACTTGTTTAATTCATTAAACATGCCAATACATATCTTTTAATCATTAAAACTCATGATCAAAGATTGGGAACACTTACCCAAGCTCAAAACAGCCAACCAAAGGTGCTCTTGGAGCTCACAAGTCAGCTCCAAGATACTGACTTCAAGGGTGCACGAAAATGCACTACAAGGTGGGTCCTATCTTCACAAAGATGACCACTTGGAGCTCCCACAAACAAGACAAGGCTCCAACAACCCAAGCAAGGAACTCAGCCCCAAAACTCTTCCCCAAACAGTACCCTCAACTCAGCAAAACTGAACCTCACCGTCCCAAGACACCCACTCAAGTGTTTACAAGGAGAAAGTGTGAAGAATTAAGCAAAAGATGGCAACTTGGCTCACAGGAGGTGGAGGAAGACAATGGAACAGTGTTTCTGGTCAGCCACCAAAGAGTCTCACGTAGGAATGCATACATGCCTAGGGTTTTGTGCTAAAATGCATATATATACCCACTTAAGAATTAAACACACAGTATTATCATTAATTGCTACGCTTAGCATTTTAATCCCAAACTTAGGATTCTGGACCTACTCAATTTTACAAGATTTATCATATTTTTATTATATTTTTCGCAGCACCTTTTCGGTACGCGCTTTTCCATAGTCAGTATCAATTATGGCACCAGTTCTCATTATTTTGACTTGAAACTTGTTTTACAAGTCCTATATATTATTCTAGTAATATTCCCACACTTACTATAATTTTCTGGGATACTTCATCGGTACGCATTTATACCGAGTAGCAGAACCGGTATCTGCACTTTTCGTCCGAAAAGCGACTTTCAGTATTATTACTCCCTTACTATAATTATCTAAGCCTCATAATAATTATTAGGGTCAATTATGGAATTATTTCCTAATTTCACATAATTAATTAATTAACTTCCTTAATTAACAGTGTGGGTTCTTACAGGAAGCAGGGGGAATTCGACAGGTTGGTACAGGGCTCGTTTTCTGTTGATGAGTACCTGGCCAAGTTTAATGAGTTGGTTAAGTTCGCTCACTTTCGGATGGAAAGGCCTACTCCGATCTTCTTGGCTGCTAAGTTCCGTAGGGGACTTAATGAGGATGTTGCTGGTTACCTCGCTGGTTCTGCTTCAAGAGACTTCGGGACACTGGTGTAGCAGTGTCGAGACATCGAGGACTTCTGCAACTCGAGTAAGGCCAAGAGGGACAAGATCGCTGAGACGAAGGGAACTAGTAGTTCCACTTCCTGGAGGGACAAGAAGTTTGGGAGCAAAGGCAAGGGAAATCAAATGGCGGCTCAGAAAGCGCCAAATCAGTTTAAAAGGACTTCTGCTCAGGGGAGTGCAACGAGACCTCCCGCTCCCAGATGCTCGCACTACAAAAAAATCGGCGTACAGCGACATCGATTTAGCTAGCTTTGAATTGAATGTGGCAAATATAAAAAAAATATAAATAAAAAACAATCGCTAATGAAGAATCTCTTTCTCTCTCTCTTTTTCGTTTCCCTCATTTTTTTGTAAAAATATTACTAACATTTATTAAACTCTTGCTTTTTTAATTTTTTTTTTCTCTCTCTCTCTCGTCTTCAAGGTTCTCGTAATAATAGGTACTCTCTTCCTCTTCTCTGCATCTCTAAATCTAGGGTTTCTTTTCAGCAAAATTTGTATAACCGATCCATTATCAGCTGTGTTTCTCTTATAGATTCTCACCTATCATTTCAATTTCAAAATCAAAAGAAGAAGAGAAGGCAGTGTTGCACCTCTCTTTCTCATTTTCTCTTCTCTAACTCACACATCTCAATCTCAGAGGTAATTTAGTTTTTTATTCTTTTTGTTTCTTTGTGCTCGCGAAGATTTGAAATGTACACTTTGTAATTTGAATCATCTACTCTTGTTTGTCTTTTTGAACCCTAATCTCTATGTTCACTCTAGTGTTTGTTCGTCCAAATCTGTTTGTTTCTTTGCAATTTTCAATTTAAGTTTTGTGAGATTTTAATTTTAGTTTCAGATTCTTTGCGACTTGAAAGGTACGCTTAAGTTTTCTTGTTTAATTCAGTTTCAATTTGGTGATAGTCACAATTTTTTTAATTATGAAATGTTGCTTTGCTTTGGGGATTTAAAGTAATTGAACGATGTGTTTCACCATTTTATATGTGTGTGCATTTTGAAAATTTTGAAAAGCTTTTCATTTAACTATTCCCCATGCTAGTTTGGTAAAACTCTTCCTGAGATAATAGTTTTGGCTATTTTATCATCTGCAAAAGATAGAAATCGTTATTTTAAATTTTGTTCTGTTATTTACCTAATCTATATTTTCTTTTGTTGCCAATCCCCAAATGAAAAGTTCAAAAAGAGAATTGAAGATATTCTTATAGTATCAATGACGATAATAGGTTGAAGGAGGAAATTGATAGGCTTTTACTCGAGGAGGCTGGCTTTCAGAATTGAGTCGATATTCCTGAGGATGCACCAGGAAAGATTTCTTCAAAATCTTTTCCAAGGATCCTAACCTTTTAAATAGGTATTTGTTATTTAAGAACTTATAAAAAGTGTTAGGCTATTTAATAGTTGTTGTAGTTGTAGCTCTGGTACTTGATTTGTTATACAACTTTTAATTATTGTTTAGTTAACTTTTATAATTTGTTATATATCATTGTTACAGAGAAGAAATTAAAAAAAAAATAGAAAATAGGACTTAGCCAAGGAAAACATAATTATGCACTTTGTACTGGATTCAATTATATATTGTCTACTTTGATTTAATAATCCTTCCTTGTGTTTAAGTCTTGATATAAGCGAGTTATGTTATATACATACTTGAACTGTCATATAAGATTTAAAAGTGCAAATATTTAATCAAGTTCCTTATGTAGGTTATTATAATCATTCATTGTAGGCTCACACAAGATAAGCATGTGATGAGTGTGTTGTATTTTGGGAAGACAAACTATGAGTTTCCTTTATGCCTGAGTCATATAAATAATTGAGTTTTTGGATCCTATATTAATTTGTTTAATATCTTATATTTTTAACCTTCGACAATAAATAAATGAGTTGTCTAAGCATTCCTTGATACAAAAGAATATTGAGAGCTTAAAGATGGGCTAAACATCAATAATAGAACATAGCAATTTAAAAAATATAGAATTTCAAAATTTGGCCTAAATACAATATATTTTGAAAATTAAGTGCAGATTCATTCTTTTGCATCAAGAAGATAGAGTTCCAAAGATTTAGCCTCTATAACAATGTTGCTCTGCTTTGTGTTTTGTAGGTATTTACGGTTTGTTTCTATTTTTATAATTTGTTTCCTATTCTTTATATTTGCTCTATTGTCTTTTACAAGAAAAGTTTGTGGTCTGTGATGCAAATTTTTACCCTCTACCTTAAATTTGTACACTAACTTGTACCTTTTATTTATCCTCATCACTTGGTATTTTGGAATTTTCCGCTTTTTTTCTGGCCCAAACATAAGATGCAAATCTTTATCCTCTCTCTTAGTTCTTTGTTCACTGCTTGGTTGCGTGAGTGGAAACTGAATTAATAAATCACTCTCCTTTATAGTTACAACATCTTTGTAAAAACATAGGAGATATAAAATGTTCACTTCTTTATAGTTACAACAAATCTTTATCCTATCTCTTAACTTTTGCAGTTGATATAAAATGTTCAACTCATCACTTCTTTCTATTTTTTAAAAATAATTATCCACATTTTTCAGCCTTGTATGCTTATGTGTCTCGTATAATATATGTTGTAGATTCTCTCGATTCAATGGCATAGAGTAAACAACCAAGGGGTGGTGATTAGCAAGAAGTATATCAAAAGGTAATATAATATTTTCTTAAATATATATTTCTTCAATAAGTTGAGTTGAACATGAGGAATTTGCAAAATAATCCATAAAATAAAATAATGAAGATTGGTTGCTTATTTTGATTGACTAATAGAATACGAGGAAGAAGGAAAACTTGGAAAAAATTGATAGAACTATTCATGAAGGGAGGGACGTGGAGAGGCGATATGATCTAATGATAGGCTTTACATGTTTTGCTTTTGATCGTTCTTTGTAATCTACTTAATTCATAATATAGATCTTGCCCTAATTTGCTTGCTTTCTTGCCGGCATTCATGAGTAATGACTTTCCATTTCTTGAGTGTGCTTAAGACATTACTGATTCTTATTAAGATTTATGTGCTTACTGTGCAGGAAGGTCGAACAAGTTGCATTTGACTAACTTATTGAAATGGCTTACAGAAAGAGATTGGTAATAAACTTTCCTTTCCTAACCTTTTTATTGTTTTTTATTGAGATTTACAAATTTCCTTACCATATTTCTAATCATTAAATCTCGTATTGTTTTCAATACTTGGTTGTATAGTTTGGACCTTGCACGAAGTCTCATGCAGAGCAACACATCTGGTTGCTCTGCAGTAACTGTTGACTCTGACATTCTAACCATTACGTTCTAGGGTTGGCTTCATAAAGCTTATGTGCTCAAATACCAAGTATATCTTTATTAGGCTTAAATTCAGTGTAGGGACTGAATTCCTACTAGCTTAGTCGTATAGATGTATTTTTCTTAGCATTACGCTATTAAGTCAAAAGGAAAAGGATGAAGTTAAGTTCTATTAACAGATGCATCTTATTCAGAACTTATGGTAGATTTAGATAGATTGAAAGGTGTTAACTATCAGTGTCTCTTTTTTTGGATGTGACATATAATTCAGTTTGTATTGTTGGTTATTTTTTTCTTGGTCATAAATGCGAGTAGTCCACAGGTTTGGAAACAACTTATGTAGTGGTTTTTATTTTTTCTTTCCCTACTTTTTATGGTTAATTTGGAAATACTTCACAGTTCACATTCCATATGCTCCCTCCTTTCCTATTTCCCTTCTTTTCCCAATAATTCTTACTAGTTTTTATGATATTGGAGGTCACATGATCATATTCACTATCTTTTATATGTGACAAGGGCTCACAAATAAACAATTTCTCTAAATTTTATGTAGCCTCTTCTGGTTAATCAATTTTGTTTAATTATGGGTAGTGAAGTTACAATTCTAAGGTCACTGCTAAATGGTAATATTATTTGAATGAATGAGTTAAGGCATTTCATAAGTCATTACCTTGAGATTTCTATTAACTTAAATTTTGGCAGGCAATGCAGAGGAAGCAAAAATTTAAAAGTTGCAGTTCACTAGGTGTCAAAACAAGTTGCTCTAGCTTTTCTCAAGCGTACTCTTGGAAGATGTAAAAGATATGAAGAAGCTGGCATTATTTGTTTTAATGAACCTACCCTACAAAATATCTTGTTCGCACCCCCTTCTACTGAGAATGATGCACAATCTACAAACTGCATTGTCTCTGGGACAAGCAGTAATGCATGTAACAAATCTTCCCATCATCATGTTGAAGCCAGAAATGAGGTATTTCAAAATTCTACTTTTCCTTATTTTTATAACGTTGTCAGTGAATGTATTGTGATTCTTTTAACATAATGGTCTTGAAATTTTTGCTAAGTAATTTGTCGGTGTTGGTTGGTTCACTTTTTTTTTGTCTGCTGCTACATGTGCAGTTTCTAGTGCTTCTGAGACATATGATTGCCACAGAGATTATGTAGATAGGGGACTGGTTGATTCTTTTCAAGGTTCAATTCACTCATCAGAACAAGCATCGTCAAGAATTTGTCCATGTTTATATTTTGTTTTGTATTTGATAGTTACAAATCAATAGAATTGTAACTTAATTAGTTACTAACGTTGTGATTATCAATTGGATTTTTCCTCCCTAGTTACTTAAAGTTATTTTGCTAACATATTTAGAATGGTATGAAAGTTGATACCATTAATAGCTTAGTTATTTGAGGACTTTTCCTTTGGTCTAAATCTTTCCTAAGAATCCACTTATGTCATTTTTATATGAAATAGCAAAGCACTTGTGTGCTTCAGATGCAAAATATTTTAGTATCTTTGTTTCCAAGTTTGACGTGCAAAGATAACACTAGAGATTGAATTTTTTAATGTTATATTTTTAAACTATATTTAGTTTCTCTGGTCTGTTTTTAGAAAGGTTGTCTTCCCTGCTTGTCTATGCCTTGTATGTTGCAATAAATGCTGTTTTCGTTAAATTTCAGCAAGTAAAAAAGTAGCCACAATATAGTGTGGCTATTTTTTTAAAAAAAATTTAAAACTATTTTAGCCACATTTGAACCGTGCCAAATTTAACTTTAATTGTAGCTAAATACATGCTACCACACTGAATCAGAATGTGGCTAAGTAAAACAAATAATGTGGCTAAAATATTGCTACGCCATGATTAGCCACATTTACAAAAAGTGTGGTAGCTTTTGTTTGCCACATTTTTTATGTGATTTAGCCACATTTCGGAATGTGGCTAAAGAGCGATTTTTTTGTAGTGTCGGGGTGTGGGAAGACTCATTTTGGGCCGTGCTTGTCAGGCCAGTTGATATTCTTTCATTGTGGCAAGGAGGGCCACTACTCCAGAGATTGTCCGTCGTCGACGGCGAGAGCTGTAGCAGTTCGAGCAGTTCCATTACAGGTGGTTCCCTTTCCACCTACAGCGGCACCTGTTGTGCCATTTGTCACGGGGTGAGTTTACACTTTGGATCGCAACAGTCGGACCGAGCTTCGAACCTTGTTAGAGGTTCTGTTTCCATTAGTGGATCTTCTGTTGATGTATTGTTTGACTTCGGGGCTACGCATTCTTTCATTGCTACCCCGATTGCTGTGGGGCTTGAGTTGCCCATGTCTTTACTTTCTCCACCGTTGCGGGTGACCACCGCCACCGGAGAAATGTGTGATTCTACCATTATTCATCGCGATGTAGCATTTCAGTGGGATGGCCGTGAGTTCTCGGTAGATCTGACAGGGTTGCCGATGGCCAATTTGGAGATTATTCTAGGCATGGATTGGTTGTCCAGAAATTGTGCATTGATTGATTGCTGCGCCAAGCGAGTTGTGATGTCTCCAGGTGATGCAACAGCCAGTTCCTCGCCTTTTATTTCATTACTGCAGGCTAGGAGAGCCTTGAGAGCAGGGGCATTTGGATATGTCATGTTGGGCGGTTTAGTGAGTTGGTCACAGAAGGATATCACCGGCATTCCTATAGTGAGGGAATTCCTCGAGGTGTTTCATAAGGATATTCTTGAGTTTCCACCGCAGAGGGAGATAGAGTTCTCCATTGACTTATTGCCTGGTGTGGGCCCGTTTCATTGGCTCCATATCGGATGTCGCCACCAGAGTTGGCGGAGCTGAAGAAACACATTGAGGACCTTTCAGGGAAAGGCTTCATTCGACCAAGAGTGTCCCCCTGGGGAGCACCGGTCATCTTCGTGAAGAAGAAAGATGGGACTATGCGATTGTGCACCGATTACAGGCAGTTGAACAAGGTGACAATCAAGAACAAGTATCCTCTTTCGCGTATTGATGATCTGTTAGATCAACTGAAGGGTGCTTGTGTGTATTCAAAGATAGATCTCCGGTCCGAATACCATCAGATTGGGTGAAGCCGGAGGATGTCCCGAAGACTGTGTTTCGTTCGAGATACGGTCTCTATGAGTATTTGGTGATTCCTTTTGGACTCACAAATGCACCCGTTGTGTTCATGGATTACATGAACAACATTTTCCAGCCGTACCTGGACCAGTTTGTGATCGTCTTCATTGACGACATATTAATTTACTCCAAGACGGAGGAGGAGCATGCTGAGCACTTGAGGATTGTGTTGCAAGTGCTGAAGGAGAAAAGGATTTATGCTAAGCCTTCCAAATGTGAGTTTTGGCTCAAGTCTGTGAAGTTTCTTGGGCATGTCATTTCTGCAAAAGGAGTTGTAGTGGATCCGAACAAGATTGAGGTTGTTCTTGATTGGGAGAGGCCCAAGACGGTAACTGAAGTAGGGTGTTTTCTGGATTTGGCAGGGTACTACCGGAGGTTCATCAAGGGATTCTCCATGTTGGTTCTGCCAATGACTCGCCTTACCCGGAAGGAGACTCCATTTGTGTGGACTCACGAGTGTGAGGAATGTTTTAAGGAGTTAAAGGAGAGACTGACTACCACACCTGTGTTGGTCCTTCTTGATCCTGCTGAGGAAGTCGAGCTTTACACCAACGCCTCCGGAAAGGAGCACGGATGTGTGTTGATGCAGTTACGCAAAGTGATTGCCTATGCTTCGAGGTAGTTGAAACCTCATGAGGAGAACTACCTGACTCATGATTTGGAGTTGGCTGCTATTGTGTTTGCTTTCAAGATTTGGAGGCATCATCTTTATGGCATGAAGTTTGCTGTGTTCAGTGATCACTAAAGCTTGAAGTATTTGTTTGATCAGAAAGAGCTGAACGTGAGACGGAGAAGATGGATGAAGTATCTTAAGGACTACGACTTTGAGTTGAAGTACCATCCTGGAAAGCCCAATGTGGTAGCTGATGCTTTGAGTCGGAAATCCGTGAGTCTATCCAGTTTGACCATGGGTGACTAAGACATCATTGAGCAGTTTCGAGATCTGACGGTGACTTCCTTGTTTGGGGGTGCACTTCTCGAAATGGAAATCGTGCAAGTTGAGAACGAGCTCATGAAAAAGATCAAAGAGGCGCAAGTGCAGAGAGAGTGCCTAGATTATGTGAAGAACCAGGACGGTGTGTCTTGGAATGAGGATGGACTGTTGACCTTTCAGAAGAGGATTGTGGTTCCTCGAGGTTCGTTGACTGTTGAGGTGATGACAGAGGCTCATAAGGGCCAGTTTACTGTCCACCCTGGTGCTACAAAGATGTACCAAAACTTGAAAAGGAATTATAGGTGGCCGGGCATGAAGAAGGACATTATTGTTTTTGTGTCCAAGTGCTTAGCTTGCCAGAAGGTGAAGATAGAACACCAAAAGCCGTCTGGTAAGCTTCAACCTCTTGAGATTCCGGAATAGAAATGGGATAGCATTTCCATGGACTTCGTGGTGGGATTGCCGACGACTCAGGCTGGTTATGACTCTATCTTGGTCATTGTGGACAGATTGACCAAGTCTGCCCACTTTCTTTCGATAAAAGTGAGCTTCACTACTGAGCAGTTGGCCAGACTATATGTTCGCGAGATTGTGAGACTTCACGGGGTGCCCGAGAGTATCATTAGTGATAGGGACCCGAAGTTAACATCTCGGTTCTGGGAGGCGCTGCAGGAGGCTTTTGGTACAAAGTTGAGACTGAGTACAACCTATCACCCTCAAACTGACGGACAGACTGAGCGGACCATCCAGACATTGAGCTAACTGATGCATGTTTATGATTTAGCTATATTTCATGATTATGCCTGATTTTCCTATTATGACCCTTGTATTGAGACTTGATGATTAAGATGTTTATTTGGTGAGCATAGGGGTTGTCCATGCCACATTGATTTCAGACTTGTTGGTTTATTTTGAGTTGTACTGATGTATTTGGATTTGTCCGGTCTACATGTTGTAGTGCCGTGACTAGATACAAATATATCTATTGAGGTTATTCAGTTAGTTGTTTAATTCCAATTTACATACAAGCAATGTTTTGAAAAAGAAATAAGTAATCAACTTGTTTAATAATAATGACGTCATAATCGAAAAGAAAAAGTTAGCTTTCGCATTTATTTAGCTGTGCTTAATATCGTAATATGATAACAATCCGGGTATACACAGGGTGTTGCATTTTATGGTATGAGAGAACTTTCTAGGGAAAAAGCCTGTATATATTGCAATAACTTAGGATGCTTTGCTGTGTGTTTTTGTCTTGTGAGTTTCTTTTGGGCTTTACTATGATGATGCATGCGTGACCACATTGTGTGGGCCTGATCAACTCATTCTTTGTGTAACATGTGCAGAGTCATGGTACTTCCGAGGAGGACTCTATCTGGGTCATTGTGGACAGATTGACTAAGTCTGCCCATTTTCATCCAGTAAAGGTGAGCTTCACTACTGAGCAGTTGGTCAGACTGTATGTTCGCGAGATCGTGAGGCTTCACAGGGTGCCCGAGAGTATCATCAGTGATAGGGACCCGAAGTTCACATCTCGGTTCTAGGAGGCGCTGCAAGGAGCTTTTGACACTCAGTTGAGATTGAGTACAATCTATCACCCTCAGACTGACTGACTGACTGAGCGGACCATCCAGACCTTGGAGGACATGTTAAGGGCTTGCACTTTGGAGTAGGGCTCAGCAACGGATAGGTACCTGCCATTGGTTGAGTTTTCATACAACAACATTTTTCATTCAAGCCTGGGCATGGCACCCTACGTGGCGTTGTATGGGAGGAGGTGTCAGACTCCTACCTGTTGGTCTGAGGTTGGAGATAAGGAGTTATTTGGTTTGGACTTTGTCTAAGAGACCACCCTGCAGATCCAGATGATCAGGGAAAAGCTGAAGCAGGCACAGAATCGCCAGAAGAGTTACTATGACAACAAGCATCGACCACTAGAGTTCAGTGAGGGTGAGCACGTGTTTGTGAGACTTTCACCTGTCACCGGTGTTGGTCGGGCCCTCGGAGTGAGGAAGCTTAGCCCTAGATTTATTGGGCCATACCAGATACTTGGTAGGGTAGGGCCTGTTGCCTACCAGCTTGCCTTCCCTCTGAACTTGGCCAACATCCACGACGTGTTTCACGTGTCTCAGCTTCGGAGGTATATATCGGATCCTTCTCACGTGGTGCAACCTGATGATGTGGAGGTTTGGAAGAATTTAAAGACTCCCGTCGGACCACTCAAGATTCTTGATTGTGGCGAGAAGAAGCTTAGGAGCAAGATCATTTCTATGGTCAAGGTGCAATGGGAAGGAAGAACTCCTGAGGAGTGTACTTGGGAGCGAGAGGACAAATTTCTCCGGCAATACCCCGAGTTTTCGGGACATGTATGCTTCTAATTTTGTGGACAACATTCTTAAAAGGTGGGGTGAATGTAAGGACCCGCACCGTTAAATTACGAATTTAATTAAATTAAT